GGAACCCTCCTCACTCCATAAGCGTTCATGGGCTGATTCTGCCTCAGCTGTGAGATTCTCATTATTTTGTTGTAACATCTCAACACAAGTTGTCACTCAGGATGCTGCAGTGGGGCAAAGGGAAAACAACACCTTTGAAGCTTTTGTTTTGTCAGATCAGTTTTGACCCCATATTACAAAGACTATTCATCACATCTTATTGACTGATACAGAAATAACAAACCCTTCCTGCTGTCTTCAGATTACATGTACTAGGGAATATCTGAGAGTACTCTACTCCTAAGCAACATGTCAGAGCACAGGAAAGATTTAATTTCACCCTAAATCACTCCTTCCCACTCAGCCTGAGTCTGAGCAGGAAATAAGGAATGCTAACTATTTGCATCCCTGTCAGACACTCCTATGTGAGGTCTAATTAGTTAAGGTCAAACACCAGTGTTGATCTTTCATTCTCCTGCAGCAAAGCAAACAACTACATTCACAATTTAGCAGTTTCTTCAACCCAGTGCTGCTAACCTCTACTAACATTTATGACATCAGTCCTCCTTCGACGCTCATGTCCTGACTGCAGGGTCAGATAGTGGTTAGCTGCTGTGTAACAGTGATAGCACGCTTCTGTAACACACCATTTTCTACTGACAGATTACAAAGTGTTTAACGAAAAGTGCGTCCAGGATGGAGATGGGACGTTACTGAAGTCACCTGGCAAACAAGCAGAAGGTGATACCTCTTCTGAGGCCCACCATGCTGACAGCTGAAGGGTTGTCTTTGCTGAAAGATTAGCAGGGACACCAGATGAAACCAGACTGGTTTAGGGAATGGCAAAGGTACAGATGTCTTTACCAAATGTTGAAAGCTGTAATGTTCACATTTCTCTAAATCCTTCCTGCTGAACACTCATCCAAAGAAATGAATGCCTTCATTTTTGCAGACTTCAGAATAATTTTATATAGTTATCTCTTTGACTCTTCTGAAATTCATAGATCACACTTAATGAGTCATATTAGCACACACTTACTGCAATTATGTGATGAATGTTTGATTTCTGGCTTACAGCCTGAAAAACACATAGATTTCTGTGATCACTAGAAAGGTAAAGATGAAACCTCATGTTTTAATTAGGGGCTAATAGCTTTAGTTCACTGCAATGCAAAGGCCTTTGGGTTTTTAAAAGCTTTCCAACCCAGCTGAAAGTCTGCTATTCAATTAGTCTGGAGTTATACATCAGCTGGTCAAGCAATGACAGCCTTTCTAAGAAGCTATTGCTTTCTCTAGAAGAGCTTTTACTCTAGGGAAAAACGTATTGCTTTTACATCCTCTGGCTGCACAGGTGCTGCGAAACTACTGGCGAACTCAGCAGGTCCTACCACTGCAGCCAGCCAGGGTTAAACCCTTGAGTCTACCTGTATTTTACTAGTGAGCACTACTGGAGCTGCTGCAAGGAAAACATGGGAAGAAATTAGTTTCCACATGTATCTGCATAGATTGTAACAGAAATATTAAGATTGGGGGAAATGATGTATGACTGGAATTATGTGTATGTGAAAGCACCAGAAAAAGTAAAAGAGGCCTACATAGCAAGGGATGTTGTTTCATCAATGGATGAATGTGCTGCTGTGCTCAAGTCCCAGAGGCCCCACACTGGGGAGACCACAGGACACAGCTCCTGGACAGAAGACCCTGTACCAATGGCGGGACAGTGGCGCAGGTTGTATCAATCATATATACCAATCCTCCTTCTGATAGCCATGGCAAGGGGGTTGGAACTAGGTGATCGTAAGGTCCTTTCCAACCCAGACCATCCTATGATTCTATGATATCCTAAGGGATATAAAAGATTTGTCCAAAAAGTCATTTCATCATTGACAACCAAGAATTGTTGGCTTGCCAATTCGACTGTGGTCCATCAGTCTTTGTAAACTGGCTGCTGATCAGCTCACAAAACCCACTTGTTCTTCAGTAATCATCACCTTTCCCATTCTCTCCCCTATCTGATGCAGGGGCAGCAAGCGAGTGACTACTGGGGCTGGGCTGACAGCTGGGGTTAAACTAGGGCAGCAGGAACGTGTACAAACTCCAGTCTAGTCTGTAGCTGGGCTGTTATTTGAGAAATGATCTACTTGCCACTAGATGGCACATCTCAATTGCTGATCTATGGTTGAATTCAGGGTTGCCTTTTTTTTTAATTAAGAGAAAAAAGATACTCCCTCTCTTTGCTAACATCACACTGTATAATCGTGCTTGCTTTCTATCTTCAAATCAGACAGCTTAAAAAAAAACAAAAAAAAAAACAAAAACACAGAGAAAAAAAAAAGGAATTTTAAACTAAAAATAAAACATCTGCCAGTGCAAACATAGCTTTATTCTGCCACATCTACAACCAAACTAGGTTAATAACCAGCATCACAGATGGTTTCTCTACATAAATATGTACATCCCCCCATAGTGGCTCTTTCAGCAGCCTCCTGAAGCTGCTGATGCCACAGTACTGGGTTTCCTTGGTGATCACTGTGCCTTGCACACTCAGCTGGAGAGGTCTCAGAAGATGGCACTGCTGCCTGTGGCCTTTTCCAACACCAAGCAGGAATGCAGCAGTGGACAGCTGCATCTCTACCAAAGAACATCAACAGACAGGTATTATTACATCCTCATGCAGCCTGTCTTCTCCTCACATGACCAGATCTGCTGAAGGGTTCTTTCAACTTGCCCAAACACCCACAGAAGGCTACATACCAAATACCACAGTGACCTCCATATGGTAGCTCTGTAGTCAGAGCCACAAAGGTGGAATTTGATCTTTCTGCAGCATTCAACAGTACGAACTGTCATAAATTACATACAGACCACAAAACCATTGTGTGGTGCCATGCTCATTCTCCCTCAGTAGTTATGTATCAGAAGCGGTTATTTCCCAATTTTTCTTATCCAGGCTCTCTTGAGCTGGATTCTGTTTTTCTTCTCTTACCAGCAGTGAAATGTGTTTCAGACCAAACCACAAACCTATTGCTACCACTTTGAAAATACATAACTGTCACCTTCCAGGAAGTTTCATGAGCATCAAACCTCTTAAATAATGATACAGAGAACAAACTTAATTCAATTCATTTCTTCCTGGTTCTACTCAGTCATCTGAAAACCTGAAAATCTGAAAAGTTAAAATACTGATTACTAAGAGCACGCTATCCTGTGGCATGGAGTATAAAGCTCCTTGGAAGCTCAGCAGCAGTGGGGTTTAACATAAGCTAGACTGATCCTTGCAGAACTCCAGACTACTTAGACCTTGTTTCTGTTGGTATCTGTATGACACATACCCCATTTATGCAATAGTGAAGGCTAAACATCGTAGTTCTAACTGATCTATCATTTCTAGCATTTGAAAGAATACCCTAAGAAATAGAGTAACATAGCAGAATACAGGACCAATTCACATTATCTAAGCTCCATTCATGTCTGTTAAACTGATACGAATGATAAAAATCAACTTACTACGTACATTTGGGCTCAAATTTATGAATACCTCTAAAACGGGAGTCATGATACTGATGTTTGAAACCACTCTAAAACTTCTGACAATCTGTTTAAATACTATATACTATTATAAATTAACTGAAACCAACATCTTTTCTATGGCCTGCTTTACATTAAGATGTCAACTTTTCATGTCTGGGTTTGAAGAGCAAATGAAGAATTATGATAGCAGGCGACATGCTACTCTATCACGCAGATCATCTGCTGCTATTATTTTGGAAGGATAAAACTTAATTTGTGAAATAACCAGAAGATTGCAAATGAAAGTAACTGCTTCATAAAAATAGTCGTTAAAACTATACAAAGTGTGTAAAGTTTTAAAGAGCCAGTGCAGTGTGTATAATCTGTCAGTAAAACTGAAAAACCACAGATTTCAGGCCTGTCATCATGAAACTATGACAGGGTAAGGAGTACCCACTTACCATTCATTTCCATCAGCTTTTCACATCACTAAAAACGTGTTTTCAAGTGACAAGAACAATAACCATTGCCCTGCACTCCAAGCAGAAAAGTACACTGAATTTATTCATGCCAAATGGTATCTGCAGGAGTCAATTAACCAAATGCATGCAATAGCCATTTCCAAGTTTAAAGCTTCACCATTTAAAACTCAGCTTCTAGAAACTCTGCCCCACACACAGAGACACGTCTTTATTTTAGGGGAAAATGAAATCATCAGAGCAGTTTCACTTGGCTTCACATACAAAAAGAAGGTACACCTACACATTTTTCTACTTACAAACTTGTCTTACAAGTGCCTTGAAACGAACAGTGAACAACAGTCTAGGACATTCAAGAACACTGCATTTGGAACTCACAGTGTTAACTGCAGGCAGCACCTCACCCCACCACCACTGCTGCCAACGAATGCCTGTCCAGTACCAGCCTGGCTTCATGCTCAAATTTCAGTACTCAGTTCAGAAAGAGTTCCTTTAAAGGAAAAAACAGGCCACTATGATGCTTAAGAATAATTTAATGAAAACAGAGGACCAGCAGTTCAGAGGCAGTCCAAGAAACCAGTGCTGAAATGGCAGCCCTAATCTTGGTATAGTATAAAAACTGCAGATTCGACTCCCCTCTTTTAAACTCAGAGTATTCTTGCCATGCCTTCCCATTCTAGGACACCAGGAATTACTAATTGTGAACAGTTTGTTTACCTGTTGCCTTAAATCTTGTTTAGGCATCGGATTCACTTCTTACAGAAAGGAATAAATAACTCGAGAATTACAGCTTAAAAGCAACAAAGACTAAAGTGAGTACTTTGGAGATTTTTGAGTTCACAGTAATGTACTTTCTTGTACTTGCACTTTCTTGTAACTCTTTTGCAGGACAAAATCAGGTAATAAAAACAAAACAAGGTAAAACTCTTCAAAGTGCCCTAGCTACTTTGGCAACACCGTTATGGCATTCTCAGAAGAGAGTTAAAGCACTTAAACATGATTATATCCCCTAAATAAAACACAGTCACTTGGAAATTTTGACTAGTGATACATTAACGTAAGAGAAGCCTAATTCCCTGCAGTGATTCTGAATGCAGTCAAGTGCAGAGTAATTCAACATTACATAGCAAGTCAGTGGCAGGATAACGCATTAATCTCATCCTTACACACACACACCCCTTCCCAACAACCCACAAACAAACAAAACAAAACCCCAAACATCAACCCCAAAACAATACTTAATTGGCCTATGTTCACAATAGTACAGATAACCAGTAATTGTTATGTTGAAGTATGCAACTGTCAAAGTAAAATTCATTACACTAAAAAGCCTGCTCTGGAAAGGTTTATTCTCCATACTGTATCTCTGCTCTTAGCTCTTTGGAGAGGTAATTTATCAGCACTGCTGTCAACTTCTGCTGGAGACTAGCATTTCCCATTACAAGAGCAGTCAGCTGAGCAACGTCAGTCCAGTCTAAGCTCCTGAGAATAACAACAGCTTCATCGTAGAGTTTCTGCTGCTCAGCAGGAGGCAATTCCAGTAAAATCTGAGGGACTGGCCTGAACTGTCCACTCGTCATCCAGGCACCAAGTAAGCCACCAAATGCACCTCCTAGGACAGGGGGAGAGAGGTGTTACTCCTTGCCAGTTAAAACCTGAACTTCTATCCACAGCCTTCACCAGCAATGTTCCCACCTGTATTAGAAATCAATGCGGAGTTGCGTATGTCTACTGAAACTCCATTCATACCTAATGCTCAAAGCACCAAGAAGGATTTTTAAAGCTCTTTACATCCACAGCAATCACAAAGCAACTGCTTGCACAATCAGAGCTAATAGCTTCAAGCTAGAGAAATCAGAAACAGAACAACACTCCTTAGGGCTCTAGTCTCTTTATGGTAAGCCGTACCACTAAACAAAACCATGCCCAAGGAAAATACTGGATATTTACTTTATCAGTGCCATTAGCTTATAGTCTCTTGCCAGAGATTCCCAGACTGATCCAAGCTTTCAGCTTCTCTACGGCCACACATTGCAGCCTTCTGCTCCCATGAAGTCCACCCCTCAGAGACCAAACCATCAGCATTGTGTGCTTAGACACATTCACACTTTCATCTGCCAAACCAACAGCCCACCCCAGCTGGCCAAGAAATGCTCTGCTCAGTAGACTGGTTCAGAGGGTTTCAAAGGTGCCACTGTCTCAACCTTAGACCTCTGGATGGCTTCCATTTTGCTTCCACAGGAGTCCAAGTCAGCAAGGTCACTACCACGCTAGAAAGAAACACACATGCCTTTCTGATGCACACCTTGTTTCTGAAAAGCTGACAAACAAAATGACATCTTGTTAAAGGCCATCTATATGAAATCTAAACACTGCATGCCCCTTTCCTTCAACCCATACCTACACACAAGCTTCCTCATTTCTTCACTCAGGAAGTTAACCACAATTCTTGTTCCTACAGCAAAACACACTTACCTACAGCGATTCCAGGTGGACCTCCCATCAGACCCCCAATAAAAGCTGTTGCACCTGCCAGCAGCGCTCCTCGACCAGAGTGCTTGACAGCAGCTTTCATCCCCTTCTCCTGGGAGAGGTGGCAGAACAGCTGCATCACATCATCAACATTGATGGGCATCTTGGCGAGGTAAGATCCTGGAAAAGATACTTTAAATTACCTCCAGATTGCTGCAGCAAGGACTAAACCTTGTTACTAAATTAACACTAAGAAAAAGCAGAGTTTGGAGTCTGTGAGGCTGAAAGTACAGAGGCACAGTAAAAAAAAATAAAACGTGAATTTATTTTCTCTTTCATTTTTGTGAAAACCAAGCCTACTTGCAAATAGCTAATGACTGACAGAAATGGAAGTAAAACCACATGGTATACAGGAAAATCTGATTTTATGAGAAATTAGGAGACCAAACAAGGGGAAGCACCAGCAATGAGAGGATTCAGTTCGTCCCATCAGCAAGACAGAAAATTATTGGTCTTTGTCCTGTGCCTCCTTAGGATGACCTCGGACCGACCCAACTACCTGAGTGCTGACAAGCATTTGCTGCTTCTCTATGGGGCAATTCCAGCCAGCATTTCATGCAAAGCTCCTCAGTATGAAGCCTCTGCAACACGGACGGGACAACAGAAGGTGGAGAGCTGACAACAAAACACAATACAACACAACAGCTCTTGATGACAGTAACATCATGTGCTTTCCCCCAGTCAAGCTGACTTCCACAGTTTCCTAAACCAATCTAATTGTAATACACATGAAAGGATGTTTTTCGAGCAGAGAAGGTCCCTGCAGTGTGCAGAAGCCGGCTGTCAACGGAAAGCAACCTGTGTTGCTCCACCCACCGCACTGAACACTGGCATGTTTCCTTTTGGTAACGTGGCATCCTCAGCAGTGCAAAGGGCATCAGCTGCCCTGGGGCTTCTCTGAATAAATGAAATAATCTTTCCTGACCACATTCAAAGTGCACTTGGCTTAACAGTGAAAGAAGCCCAGACTGTAATGAAAACAGGAATCACACTGCTATCTGCTGGCATACAAAGTGCAGTGAATGCACACATTCTTAGTAGTGTGTTATCCTCAAGCAAAGCAGAAACCCACTGGAACTCAACCAACTCTGAGTATTTTTTCCATAGTAAATGATTTTACCACTTTACTCCCTTCACAGCTCCCCCAAAGGGAATTTCCACTTGCAAACTTAAACATACCTGGGAGTCTTTCTGGCTTGATTGAAGGTTCTCAACACAGCAGAGATGTTCCCACTTAATTCCCAATGTGAGCATCACACTCAGAATTCTCAAAGACATTACAAGGAGGACTCACTTTCTTCCACTCTTGCAAGTATTTCTGTCACCTCTCATCATATTCACTATATCTTAAGCCCTACAGTGAATTTTAGAGAATACAATAGCTGATGCACAGCATGTACAAGTTGGTTTCTTGTTCAAACCATACATACAGAGCTCTACTGAGAGCTACTAAAACATAAACCATATACTACAACACATACACATAAAGTAATTCCAGAGGTTACTGCGTTCACCCCAAAGCCCCATATGAGTGGATCAACATTTAAAAGGAGCTGTAAGTTTTATATGTCAGAGGCTGAACCAGACGAAGACCAAAAATATTTCTCAACCGATTGTGTAACTGACAAGTAAACAGAACAGCAATTTGATTCTAGCAACAAAATATTTCCTACAGAATCCACCCAGATGTTAAGAAACACAAGGAATGTAAAATACTAGATCTGCAGTAAGGGAGGGATTGAAACATCAATGCCATCCACAAAATCAGGCTGGGCTTTCAGAAATGTTGAGTCATAGAATCATAAAAGCATAGAATCATAGAGTAGTCAGGGTTGGAAAGTACCTTAAGATCATCAAGTTCCAATCCCCCTGCCATGGGCAGGGACACCTCACACTAAACCATGTCACCCAAGGCTCTGTCCAACCTGGCCTTGAACTCTGCCAGGGATGGAGCATTCACAACCTCCCTGGGTGACCCATTCCAGTGCCTCACCACCCTCACAGTAATGAACTTCTTCCGTATACCCAATCTAAACTTCGCCTAAGTTTTAACCCGTTACCCCTTGTCCTATCACTACAGTCCCTAATGAAGAGTCCCTCCCCACCATCCCTATAGGCCCCCTTCAGATACTGGAAGGCTGCTATGAGGTCTCCACGCAGCCTTCTCTTCTCCGGGCTGAACAGCCCCAACTCTCTCAGCCTGTCTTCATACAGGAGGTGCTCCAGTCCCCTGATCATCCTTGTGGCCCTTCTCTGGACTTGTTCCAACAGTTCCATGTCCTTTTTATGTTGAGGACACCAGAACTGCACACAATACTCCAGGCGAGGTCTCACAAGAACAGAGTAGAGAGGCAGGATCACCTCCTTCGACCTGCTGGTCATGCTCCTTTCGACGCAGCCCAGGATACAGTTGGCTTTCTGGGCTGCGAGTGCACACTGAAGCTGGCTCTTGTTCATTTTCTCATTGACCAACACCCCCAAGTCCTTCTCTGCAGGGCTGTTCTGAATCTCTTCTCTGACCAACCTGTAGCTGTGCCTGGGATTGCTCTCACCCAGGTGTAGGACCTTGCACTTGGCATGGTTAAACTTCATGAGGTTGGCATCAGCCCACCTCACAAGGTTGTCAAGGTCCCTCTGGATGGCATTCCTTCCCTCCAGCGTATCAACCGAACCACACAGCTTGGTGTCATCGGCAAACTTGCTGAGGGCGCACTCAATCCCACTGTCCATGTCAGCAATGAAGACGTTGAACAAGACCGGTCCCAACATGAGTCCCTGAGGGACTCCACTCGTTACTGGTCTCCAGCTGGACATTGAGCCATTGACCACAACTCTTTGTGTGCGGCCATCCAGCCAGTTCTTTATCCACCGAGTGGTCCATCCATCAAATTGATGTCTCTCCAATTTAGAGACAAGGATGTTGTGTGGGACAGTGTCAAACACTTTGAACAAGTCCAGGTAGATGACATCAACTGCTCTACCCCTGTCCATTAGTTCTGTAGCCCCATCACAGAAGGCCACCAAATTTGTCAGGCAGGATTTCCCCTTAGTGAAGCCACGCTGGCTGTCACCAAGCACCTCGTTGTTTTTCATGTGCCTTAGCATGACTTCTAGGAGAATCTGCTCCAAGATTTTGCCAGGCACAGAGGTGAGACTAGTGTGTTATTTCCTGGGTCATCCATTTTCCCCTTCTTGAAAATGGGGGTTATATTTCCCTTTCTCCAGTCATCGTGAACTTCACCTGACTGCCATGATTTCTCAAATATGATGGCCAGCGGCTTAGCAACTTCATTTGCCAGCTCCTTCAGGACCCGTGGATGGATTTCATCAGGTCACATGGACTTTTGCAAGTTCATGTTTTTAAGATAGTCTCAAACCAGATCCTCTCCTACAGTGGGCGCAAGGTCTTCATCCTCACAGTCCCTGCATCTGCCTTCCAAGACTTGGGTGGTGTGGTCAGAGCCTTTGCCAGTGAAGACCGAGGCAATGAAGTCATTCAGAACCTCAGCCTTCTCCAAATCCTGTGTAGCCAGTTCTCCCGAGAGCTTCCTGAGGGGGCCTACGTCCTCCCTAGTCTGGTTTTTATTTGCTATGTACCTGTAGAATCCCTTCCTGTTATCCTTAACATCCCTAGCCAAAATGATCACATCATACCCACCTCACTGAAACCATTGTTAATGCCAACAACCAAAACAGGTCCCAGAGTAATCTATGGTGTGAACCTCAATTCAGATCCTTCCTGTTTAACATTCCCATCTCATTACCCTACTTCACCCTTCAAGGAAGGATGACTTTGAACAGGCAAAAGCCCTTTCATTCCCCTCGCTTCACTGCCCTACCAATAGAACAAGGAACACTCTCCCAAATGTCCACATAGAAGATACTCTAAGCAGCACACAGCCTGGCCTACGCTGAGCTGTCCTCCCTGCTCTTCACAACCTCCTCCTGAGTTAACAGAGCAGATCTTTCAGTAAACACCTCCACACTGTGCATGTACGTAGAACAAAAAGCACCTACAGGATGAATTCCAAACTCACCAAGAAATGAAGACAGAGGTCTAAGCTGTTGTGGGAATTTTCTCCTTCCATAGAGACTGAAGGAAATTTGGCACCTAGCCTGTCCCACATTGAATGTAACCTTCTTACTTAGACAGCTAGATTACTAAGTATCTGTGAAGGACTGGATGCAACTCCTTCAGCCCTTAAACTTGTTTAACCTACTCAATGTCTTTAGAACTTATAAATTAAAGGCAATTTTTTTTCTTGGCCCCTCTCTTAGTGTGTCAAAAGCTGTGGAAACATGTGGCAAGCCCGGCATGCTGAGGAAATGCTGAACTGGGATGTGGTTATTTTGGGTCCCGCCGCAGGTTAGGGAAGGACTTGACAGAAATCTGCTAGGTGGTTTTCCAAACCAGGATGCCAGTGCACTGTTGCTGTTGTTGATTTCTGAGGCTTGCTTCTGACAGATGACTTGAGGATTTGGGATGTGAAACAGGTTTTTTTTTTAATTATTCTTTTATTATTATATTTACAAGAATTGCTGGCTGGTAACTGCATACACAATCAAATCTTCATCCAGCTGATTGCAATAACCAGATTCGGTGCAAAGACTTCAGCAGAGTCAGAATATCTCAAAGGGAGTAGTGTGATTTACAGCAGCATGTAAATCCTTAAAGAATACACTCTGCACTGTTCACTTGCATTTTACTAACTTCAACCATAGAAAAAAAATAGAATCCAAGAATAGTTTGGGTTGGAAGGGACCTTAAGCTCATCCAGTTCCAACCCCTGCCAACAACAGGGATACCTTCCACTAGAGCAGGTTGCTCCAAGCCCTGTTCAACCTGGCCTTGAACACTACCAGGGATGGGGCAGCCACAGCTTCTCTGGGCAACCTGTGCCAGGGCCTCACCACCCTCACAGGGAAGAGCTTCTTCCTAAGAGCTCATCTCAATCTCCCCTCTGCCAGTTTAAAGCCATTCCTCCTCGTACTGTCACCAGAGGCCCTTGTCAGAAGACCCTCTCCAGCTTTCTTCTCAGCCCTTTAGGCACAGGAATCTGCTCTAAGGTCTCCCCAGAGGCTTCTATTCTCCAGGATGAACAAGCCCAGCTCTCTCAGCCTGTCTCCATAGCAGAGGTGCTCCAGCCCTTGGAGCATCTTTGTAGCCTCCTCTGGGCTCACTTCAGCAGAAAGACCAAATATAGATCGAACACCTAAATGCTGATGTAGCCCTAATAACCTGTGTTTATTTTTAATCATAGTATTGAAGTAATAATTCAGTTTGGGACAGAGTGATAAAAATTCCCTCCTTTGATGCTGGCAGATTCATTGCTTTTAATTTTGCTCCTTGGAAAGCTGCTTGCAGCTGGAATGTGGGGGGGGGGTACTTTTTAAAATGTACATTGTGGTTCTCTGCTCAGTTTAGGAATTGCATTTGCTTTTTACATCCAAAATATAAAACTCAAGAGCACCAGCAGACCTGGAGCATTCTGAGTTGTTACACATAGAGTTGTTTTATGTGATCATAGAAAGCATAGCGAGGTTCAGAAGTCCCCAGTGCAGCCACAGAAATTGTGTTATTCCTCCTCCTTCTCCTCCTTCTGCATTTACATTTTCTCAACAAGGACCTGAGGGGAGACGGTTTACCTTAAGTCAGAAGTGAAATCATAACAAAGGCTTAGCTAACAAAACCAAACCCCACCGTAATAACCCGTTCTTGGCAAACATCAGCATTTCTAGCATCAGGCAGTGACTTTCCAAGGACTGTACTGGTGTGCACCGGGATCAGTGTGGCATTTCAAGACACGTATGTGACACAGGTGCTTAACGCTGCTTCGGTGCAGAGCACGTCCAGTTACATGTGCTGCTGCGCCAGACCGGCACGCTTCACCGTGCCGATGACGGCTGCAGTGCACCCGAATGAAAAGATGCACAGGCTGTGCTTAGACGATGCTCCCGGCTCAGGGCCCGGGATGCCCTCACGGCACCAAGCGCAGGCGGTCCCTCTCCTGCTCCTTCCGCAGCAGCTCGGCCGCGACCGGCAGCCGCTCTCGCAGCACCGCGTACCTGCAAGCACCGTGACATCTCGCAACGCCTCCTCTCTCCCCCCCCCCAGCGGCCGTGTCCGCGCACGGGAGCGGCCGGGGGACCCCGGAGGCGCGCTGCAATCTCCCGAAACGAGCTCCTGGGCACCGGCTGCACCGCGCCTGGCCTTCGGCCTGCGCCCGCCTCGGGACCAAGGCCGGGGCCGGGTTGGCTGCCGGGGCCGCCGCGGGGGCAGGCGGGAGGGGCGACAGCAAACCCGCATTCAGTGCCGAGCGCTCTGCGGAGACCGGCTGCAGCGGAGGGAACCGGGCCCGCTGCTCGGGGCCTGCCACCGCCCAGCTGCGCGAGTCCCCGGCGCGGAGGTGAGGGCTCGCTGCCGCGGGCCCGACGCTCCCTCGCGGAGCACCCGCCAGCGCCGGAGGGGTCCCGGGCCGGGCCCGGCGGGACTTCGCTCCTCTTGCCGCACCGGCGGCACCGCAGCAGTTTCCGGCCGGGCGCGGCTGCCGGCTGAGGTAGGCGGTGGGGAGGCGGGAGGAGCGGGAGGGACGGCCGCGGTGGGGGTCGACGCCGGCTCAGCCCGAGGGGACCGGGAGCCGCGGCGCTGGGGCCTCGCGAGCCCCTGCGCTGCCCGGGGAGCTCCCCCTCATCCCGGCCCGCTGTCGCCGGGTTTGCGTTTGCGGTGGCCGGGAACGTTCCAGAAGAGGCCGCTGCGGCAGGCAGGCGCGGTGCGGAGCGGGGCCGATGGGCCGCGGCCCACAGCCCGGCGGGTGCCGGGGCTGCCCCGGGAAGGTGGCGGGAGAGCCGCGGGGCCCTGGGGCGGACCCGGCACCTGGGCCTAGCTCTGCTCTTTCCCTCCTCGTCCCCCGCCGCTCCAGTCTTTGGGACCGCACCGGGCTTTAGAGCGACCTCGGGGTACGGCGAGAAAGGCACGAGAAACCTTCTGAGCGGCTGCACTCGCCTTTGTCTTCTCATCCGTGGCTGCCACCTATCTGGCACTGTTCAAGGCCGGGTTGGACGGGGCTTCGAACAGCCTGCTCTAGTGGAAAGTCTCTCCCAACCCAAACCGTTCTGTGCTTCTATGGTTTCACTTTTCCGTGAGTTACAATGTGGCCTTGCCATCCTTTCAGCAGTAGTAAACATGAAATCGGTAATGTAGGCAAATAAATAGAAAAATAACTGAAATGCCAGCATTTAATATGCCGGCTCTTTGACAGTTTATGTTACATTTTGTGCTCAGCCCTAGCAAAATTACTGACGAGTGCAGATGCAGAGCATGGCTACAACTGGTTTATGTAAACCAAGTTCTCCTGGCTGCAGATGCCAGTCATGATTCAAATCAGACCACCTTCTTTGCAGATTTTAATATCCTGGGTTAGACTCTAAAGGTAGGATTTTGAGAAAGTGATCATTTAAGAGCACGAATGCTACTCAAGCAACAGAATCAAGACCAGTGATGCAGCCTTCCTTTATGAGTTGGAATATCTTGATTCCAGCTATTATTCAAATAGTTAATGAACTTAAGGCCTGTTTAATCATCACATCTTTGTGCATGCCGTTTTTTTTGTGAAGTTTTAGTATGTTTCAGCTGCCAAGGACTTTTTGTTTGTTTTTGCTGTACTGCTGATGTTCTAAAAAAACTGCACTACAGGTAGAGCTGTTGCTGTACAGCTGAGACAGATGACATTGTCATGGGTTTTATCCTGGGCATCAGTTCCTCCACAAGCATTTGCTGGTGTCTTGGATTTTGAAGATCTACACAGGTCGCACGTGTGCTTTCTAGTACTTGTGTGTGGACCTTCTCACCCACATTCTTGCTTACCACAGTGTGGTGTCTGCCAAGGTAAAGCTAGCTCTTGGTATGACAGCTTAGACCTCTGTCTTAATTTCTTGGTGAGTTTGGAATTCATCCTGTAGGTGCTTTTTGTTCTACGTACATGCACAGTGTGGAGATGTTTACTGAAAGATCTGCTCTGTTAACTCAGGAGGAGGTTGTGAAGAGCAGTGAGGACAGCTCAGTGTAGGCCAGGCTGTGTGCTGCTTAGAGTATCTTCTATGTGGACATTTGGGAGAGTGTTCCTTGTTCTATTGGTAGGGCAGTGAAGCGAGGGGAATGAAAGGGCTTTTGCCTGTTCAAAGTCATCCTTCCTTGAAGGGTGAAGTATGGTAATAAGATGGGAATGTTAAACAGGAAAGATGTGAACTGAGGTTCACACTATGGATTACTCTGGGACCCACTTTGTTTGCCAGTGCTGTCAGTATGGTGGATGGAGCAACGCAGGTTGCTTTCCTTGGGCAGCCAGCTTCTGCACACTGCAGGGACCTGATGCTTCACCTTCAGGTGTCTCTGCTCGAAAAACATCCTTTCATGTGTATTACAATTAGATTGGTTTAGGAAACTGTGGAAGTCAGCTTGACTGGGGGAAAGCACATGATGTTACTGTCATCAAGAGCTGTTGTGTTGTATTGTGTTTTGTTGTCAGCTCTCCACCTTCTGTTGTCCCGTCCGTGTTGCAGAGGCTTCATACTGAGGAGCTTTGCATGAAATGCTGGCTGGAATTGCCCCATAGAGAAGCAGCAAATGCTTGTCAGCACTCAGGTAGTTGGGTCGGTCCGAGGTCATCCTAAGGAGGCACAGGACAAAGACCAATAATTTTCTGTCTTGCTGATGGGACGAACTGAATCCTCTCATTGCTGGTGCTTCCCCTTGTTTGGTCTCCTAATTTCTCATAAAATCAGATTTTCCTGTATACCATGTGGTTTTACTTCCATTTCTGTCAGTCATTAGCTATTTGCAAGTAGGCTTGGTTTTCACAAAAATGAAAGAGAAAATAAATTCACGTTTTATTTTTTTTTACTGTGCCTCTGTACTTTCAGCCTCACAGACTCCAAACTCTGCTTTTTCTTAGTGTTAATTTAGTAACAAGGTTTAGTCCTTGCTGCAGCAATCTGGAGGTAATTTAAAGTATCTTTTCCAGGATCTTACCTCGCCAAGATGCCCATCAATGTTGATGATGTGATGCAGCTGTTCTGCCACCTCTCCCAGGAGAAGGGGATGAAAGCTGCTGTCAAGCACTCTGGTCGAGGAGCGCTGCTGGCAGGTGCAACAGCTTTTATTGGGGGTCTGATGGGAGGTCCACCTGGAATCGCTGTAGGTAAGTGTGTTTTGCTGTAGGAACAAGAATTGTGGTTAACTTCCTGAGTGAAGAAATGAGGAAGCTTGTGTGTAGGTATGGGTTGAAGGAAAGGGGCATGCAGTGTTTAGATTTCATATAGATGGCCTTTAACAAGATGTCATTTTGTTTGTCAGCTTTTCAGAAACAAGGTGTGCATCAGAAAGGCATGTGTGTTTCTTTCTAGCGTGGTAGTGACCTTGCTGACTTGGACTCCTGTGGAAGCAAAATGGAAGCCATCCAGAGGTCTAAGGTTGAGACAGTGGCACCTTTGAAACCCTCTGAACCAGTCTACTGAGCAGAGCATTTCTTGGCCAGCTGGGGTGGGCTGTTGGTTTGGCAGATGAAAGTGTGAATGTGTCTAAGCACACAATGCTGATGGTTTGGTCTCTGAGGGGTGGACTTCATGGGAGCAGAAGGCTGCAATGTGTGGCCGTAGAGAAGCTGAAAGCTTGGATCAGTCTGGGAATCTCTGGCAAGAGACTATAAGCTAATGGCACTGATAAAGTAAATATCCAGTATTTTCCTTGGGCATGGTTTTGTTTAGTGGTACGGCTTACCATAAAGAGACTAGAGCCCTAAGGAGTGTTGTTCTGTTTCTGATTTCTCTAGCTTGAAGCTATTAGCTCTGATTGTGCAAGCAGTTGCTTTGTGATTGCTGTGGATGTAAAGAGCTTTAAAAATCCTTCTTGGTGCTTTGAGCATTAGGTATGAATGGAGTTTCAGTAGACATACGCAACTCCGCATTGATTTCTAATACAGGTGGGAACATTGCTGGTGAAGGCTGTGGATAGAAGTTCAGGTTTTAACTGGCAAGGAGTAACACCTCTCTCCCCCTGTCCTAGGAGGTGCATTTGGTGGCTTACTTGGTGCCTGGATGACGAGTGGACAGTTCAGGCCAGTCCCTCAGATTTTACTGGAATTGCCTCCTGCTGAGCAGCAGAAACTCTACGATGAAGCTGTTGTTATTCTCAGGAGCTTAGACTGGACTGACGTTGCTCAGCTGACTGCTCTTGTAATGGGAAATGCTAGTCTCCAGCAGAAGTTGACAGCAGTGCTGATAAATTACCTCTCCAAAGAGCTAAGAGCAGAGATACAGTATGGAGAATAAACCTTTCCAGAGCAGGCTTTTTAGTGTAATGAATTTTACTTTGACAGTTGCATACTTCAACATAACAATTACTGGTTATCTGTACTATTGTGAACATAGGCCAATTAAGTATTGTTTTGGGGTTGATGTTTGGGGTTTTGTTTTGTTTGTTTGTGGGTTGTTGGGAAGGGGTGTGTGTGTGTAAGGATGAGATTAATGCGTTATCCTGCCACTGACTTGCTATGTAATGTTGAATTACTCTGCACTTGACTGCATTCAGAATCACTGCAGGGAATTAGGCTTCTCTTATGTTAATGTATCACTAGTCAAAATTTCCAAGTGACTGTGTTTTATTTAGGGGATATAATCATGTTTAAGTGCTTTAACTCTCTTCTGAGAATGCCATAACGGTGTTGCCAAAGTAGCTAGGGCACTTTGAAGAGTTTTACCTTGTTTTGTTTTTATTACCTGATTTTGTCCTGCAAAAGAGTTACAAGAAAGTGCAAGTACAAGAAAGTACATTACTGTGAACTCAAAAATCTCCAAAGTACTCACTTTAGTCTTTGTTGCTTTTAAGCTGTAATTCTCGAGTTATTTATTCCTTTCTGTAAGAAGTGAATCCGATGCCTAAACAAGATTTAAGGCAACAGGTAAACAAACTGTTCACAATTAGTAATTCCTGGTGTCCTAGAATGGGAAGGCATGGCAAGAATACTCTGAGTTTAAAAGAGGGGAGTCAAATCTGCAGTTTTTATACTATACCAAGATTAGGGCTGCCATTTCAGCACTGGTTTCTTGGACTGCCTCTGAACTGCTGGTCCTCTGTTTTCATTAAATTATTCCTAAGCATCATAGTGGCCTGTGTTTTTATTTAAAGGTATTTCCACCATAATAAAACACAGAATCGCATACTGGTTTCGGCTGCAAGGCACTTTAAAGCTCACCCAGCTCCAATCCCTGCCACCGTCACATTCCACTAGAGCAGGCTGTTCGAAGCCCCGTCCAACCCGGCCTTGAACAGTGCCAGATAGGTGGCAGCCACGGATGAGAAGACAAAGGCGAGTGCAGCCGCTCAGAAGGTTTCTCGTGCCTTTCTCGCCGTACCCCGAGGTCGCTCTAAAGCCCGGTGCGGTCCCAAAGACTGGAGCGGCGGGGGACGAGGAGGGAAAGAGCAGAGCTAGGCCCAGGTGCCGGGTCCGCCCCAGGGCCCCGCGGCTCTCCCGCCACCTTCCCGGGGCAGCCCCGGCACCCGCCGGGCTGTGGGCCGCGGCCCATCGGCCCCGCTCCGCACCGCGCCTGCCTGCCGCAGCGGCCTCTTCTGGAACGTTCCCGGCCACCGCAAACGCAAACCCGGCGACAGCGGGCCGGGATGAGGGGGAGCTCCCCGGGCAGCGCAGGGGCTCGCGAGGCCCCAGCGCCGCGGCTCCCGGTCCCCTCGGGCTGAGCCGGCGTCGACCCCCACCGCGGCCGTCCCTCCCGCTCCTCCCGCCTCCCCACCGCCTACCTCAGCCGGCAGCCGCGCCCGGCCGGAAACTGCTGCGGTGCCGCCGGTGCGGCAAGAGGAGCGAAGTCCCGCCGGGCCCGGCCCGGGACCCCTCCGGCGCTGGCGGGTGCTCCGCGAGGGAGCGTCGGGCCCGCGGCAGCGAGCCCTCACCTCCGCGCCGGGGACTCGCGCAGCTGGGCGGTGGCAGGCCCCGAGCAGCGGGCCCGGTTCCCTCCGCTGCAGCCGGTCTCCGCAGAGCGCTCGGCACTGAATGCGGGTTTGCTGTCGCCCCTCCCGCCTGCCCCCGCGGCGGCCCCGGCAGCCAACCCGGCCCCGGCCTTGGTCCCGAGGCGGGCGCAGGCCGAAGGCCAGGCGCGGTGCAGCCGGTGCCCAGGAGCTCGTTTCGGGAGATTGCAGCGCGCCTCCGGGGTCCCCCGGCCGCTCCCGTGCGCGGACACGGCCGCTGGGGGGGGGGAGAGAGGAGGCGTTGCGAGATGTCCCGGTGCTTGCAGGTACGCGGTGCTGCGAGAGCGGCTGCCGGTCGCGGCCGAGCTGCTGCGGAAGGAGCAGGAGAGGGACCGCCTGCGCTTGGTGCCGTGAGGGCATCCCGGGCCCTGAGCCGGGAGCATCGTCTAAGCACAGCCTGTGCATCTTTTCATTCGGGTGCACTGCAGCCGTCATCGGCACGGTGAAGCGTGCCGGTCTGGCGCAGCAGCCCATGTAACTGGACGTGCTCTGCACCGAAGCAGCGTTAAGCACCTGTGTCACATACGTGTCTTGAAATGCCACACTGATCCCGGTGCACACCAGTACAGTCCTTGGAAAGTCACTGCCTGATGCTAGAAATGCTGACGTTTGCCAAGAACGGGTTATTACGGTGGGGTTTGGTTTTGTTAGCTAAGCCTTTGTTATGATTTCACTTCTGACTTAAGGTAAACCGTCTCCCCTCAGGTCCTTGTTGAGAAAATGTAAATGCAGAAGGAGGAGAAGGAGGAGGAATAACACAATTTCTGTGGCTGCACTGGGGACTTCTGAACCTCGCTATGCTTTCTATGATCACATAAAACAACTCTATGTGTAACAACTCAGAATGCTCCAGGTCTGCTGGTGCTCTTGAGTTTTATATTTTGGATGTAAAAAGCAAATGCAATTCCTAAACTGAGCAGAGAACCACAATGTACATTTTAAAAAGTACCCCCCCCACATTCCAGCTGCAAGCAGCTTTCCAAGGAGCAAAATTAAAAGCAATGAATCTGCCAGCATCAAAGGAGGGAATTTTTATCACTCTGTCCCAAACTGAATTATTACTTCAATACTATGATTAAAAATAAACACAGGTTATTAGGGCTACATCAGCATTTAGGTGTTCGATCTATATTTGGTCTTTCTGCTGAAGTGAGCCCAGAGGAGGCTACAAAGATGCTCCAAGGGCTGGAGCACCTCTGCTATGGAGACAGGCTGAGAGAGCTGGGCTTGTTCATCCTGGAGAATAGAAGCCTCTGGGGAGACCTTAGAGCAGATTCCTGTGCCTAAAGGGCTGAGAAGAAAGCTGGAGAGGGTCTTCTGACAAGGGCCTCTGGTGACAGTACGAGGAGGAATGGCTTTAAACTGGCAGAGGGGAGATTGAGATGAGCTCTTAGGAAGAAGCTCTTCCCTGTGAGGGTGGTGAGGCCCTGGCACAGGTTGCCCAGAGAAGCTGTGGCTGCCCCATCCCTGGTAGTGTTCAAGGCCAGGTTGGACAGGGCTTGGAGCAACCTGCTCTAGTGGAAGGTATCCCTGTTGTTGGCAGGGGTTGGAACTGGATGAGCTTAAGGTCCCTTCCAACCCAAACTATTCTTGGATTCTATTTTTTTTCTATGGTTGAAGTTAGTAAAATGCAAGTGAACAGTGCAGAGTGTATTCTTTAAGGATTTACATGCTGCTGTAAATCACACTACTCCCTTTGAGATATTCTGACTCTGCTGAAGTCTTTGCACCGAATCTGGTTATTGCAATCAGCTGGATGAAGATTTGATTGTGTATGCAGTTACCAGCCAGCAATTCTTGTAAATATAATAATAAAAGAATAATTAAAAAAAAAACCTGTTTCACATCCCAAATCCTCAAGTCATCTGTCAGAAGCAAGCCTCAGAAATCAACAACAGCAACAGTGCACTGGCATCCTGGTTTGGAAAACCACCTAGCAGATTTCTGTCAAGTCCTTCCCTAACCTGCGGCGGGACCCAAAATAACCACATCCCAGTTCAGCATTTCCTCAGCATGCCGGGCTTGCCACATGTTTCCACAGCTTTTGACACACTAAGAGAGGGGCCAAGAAAGAACTATTTCTGCTGGGGCTGGGCTGTTGCTGCCACCACCATGATTCATTCTGCTTTTTCCAGAGTCTTGAGAAAATGCCCATCAGAAGTAGGCTTGGTCTGGAGGAACTGTCCAGAAGTACCTGATGCAATTCTCTGAAATTCCTATTACCTTCACAGGAAACCATGACAGATTTCTTTTTATCGTGAGGCACTTCATCTTGTTGAACACTAAAAAGTCGTTTCTCTAAATTTGCTTCTGTGCCAGATTCCCAGAGAAAACACGAGGATTACGCAACTATATGTGACAGGCTTTCAAAAGAAAGAAATATGTGTTCCCCAGAACAGTGGGAGTGGTCCACAGAGAGAAAAGGGATGGAAGATGTAACAAAACAGGCTTCTCATCATATCCAAGTTTATGAGGTTAAGAGATTTCTATCCCTTTCCTTAGAAGTCTTGGAAACCCTACACTGCCGTGAAGAAAACAGCTTTGCTTATCCCTGTCTAATGTCTAGGGCTTTAGACTACCTCCATCTCTCCCCTAATGCTACACTACCCTGGTATGTTCTCCCAGGGTCACAGCAGTAATTGCTTCTATTCTGTAAGTCTACCACTTCTGCTTCATATTTTATTTCTAATTTGAACCTTCCCTTCTTGACAACACTACAGTTTTGTGTCTTCTGAGTTAGTTGCTTGTTTTTTACTCTGGATTCCTGAGAAAACAGTGAGCTTCCCAAGATCAAACAAGGCACAAGATGTATCACAATAGAAAACTAATATAAAATATTGTAGCATTTATATTAAACTGAGCCACTTAGGGGAATTTTGCAGCTGCAGAATGGCTGTTTAAAAGGAATGAAGAAAGGCAACATTTCTAAAACCAGGGACATAACTCCAATTTTCACCTATTAACTCGTCACCTCTGTGCAGGTGTAAATAGTATAGTAAAAATGACCAAATCACTACAGGAAGGCACAATAGCAGGTTACAGAGATCCACCACAAGCAAAGTATATGCTTGATGGCAAATCTTTTCCCTATTTCCTACATTAGGTATTCATCAGGCTCTGACTTCTAATTGAATGCAAATAAAGAATATAACAGGGTTTTGCATATGAAGTGAAAATATAGAACATCTGTCTCTCACAGCCTTTCAGTGTGCCTTATGTGACATTAAGCAGAGAAGAGGTTTGCCTCATCAGCTTGTAGGAAACAGTGAATTTGCAGAACGGTGTGACTAAACTAAATCACTCCACTGTTGTAGAAGGTGCTTCTTTGATCTACTCACACACTCCTAGGTGATAAAATGCCGAGTTGGGTAAAATGAGTTTCAATGCCAAAAGATGGACGACGGGTGCGGAAGGTCACAAAACACTCTGAATTGCCTTATATCATCTCAGTGTTGAAAGATGATACAGAATATAGGCTGGCACTTTGGAATAAAGCAGACACTGCTAGCTAGCATTATTCAAGCAAGCTGTTAAAGCTGTAACCTCAACTGCAAACTGTGTACGTGTCTTCTGCTCTTTTAGACTTTCATTACAGTAGTTCTTTATGCTGTCTTTTTTCATTTTCTCAGCAGCCTAATTCAGTATTGTGCTTAATGTTACAGAGTAGCCATTTTGTGACCTGTTCAGAAAAAAGCCACAGCAAATCTGAAAAGTCAGTGTCCTGAAACTAGCCTACGTGTTTGTATGTCATAGTATGTATGAACACCAAAGTGGAAATAAAATCCTGGTTAAAAAATAGCTACACATCATACCTGCAAGGTTTACAGAGCAGCTAAAAACCAGAGACATCTCCTACAGTCACTTCCCCCACTCAGCGCTCTTTTGAAGAGCGCATCTAGGAAAAGTCGAAGGTCCTGGGCTGACTTAACTTCTGACCTTACATCAACTTCACAGGTGCTGAATGAGAGCCTAGCTATTACAAAGCTGTTAGACTAAGTTTCCTGTTCTTCTGGGAACACAGTTCTGTCTATCCCTCTTGGAGTGGAGTTCTGACACTGTGGCAGGCAAGAGGAGAGCTCCCACTCAGCCAGGTAGTAAGGTGGAAGGGAAGAGACCACCTCATACAGTTTGCATGGACTGATTTTCTTCTCTCATGTGATAGCTTGGAGGCAAGAAGATGGAGAGGTGAATTTGAATCACTCTACAATGACAGACCAGACTCAAAGCTTTCAGAAGTCACTGCAAATACTCAAATGTGTTACAGTAGGATTTTCAGACTTACACAGGTTAGCATGTTGTATTTTAATACTGCCTCCTGGGCCACCTCTCTGATTCACATGCATTCACAAGGGTGTCACCATTTGGGAATAAACATGGCCTATGTGGCTACAACAGTGTACTCTAAGGAACTATTGCTAAGCTAAATGTAGAGCAGGGCAGTGTTTAAACCATATTTATATTTGTCCTATAATGTGATCTAGACTTTGGAAACAAAAAGCCCAGAAACTGCAAACTACAAAGAAGCCCTTTGCTAGCTTTCTACAGACCTCAGTTTGGGAGCCATTGCCTTAAAAATGTCATAAATGACTGTTTTAGGAGTAATACATAATAATAATACAGTAATACTGGCATAAGTTATAAAGAACAGCTAATGCGAGAGGCCTTTACCTACAAGAGCAGGCATCTAGACAATCACAAGAGGCAAGTGCCACTGATTCAGCAGTTACCTGAATACTACAAAGGGAAAGACCTGGGCAGCCCCTTCTCTATAAGTTCCAGGGGCTCTTTCATTCTGCCCTAAGTAGACAGGCACTATGTTCTCAAAAGCCTGTTGAAGACTCACAGCAGGTTGTGCCAATCTATACCACAGAAGAATAGAAGGCTAAGATTTTGTTAGAATTAAACAACTGTCCTTAATTTCTGTCAAACGGTAAATGTGTTCCTTTGCTAGTATTTGAAATGTGTAAAATGTTGTTATGGTACACATCCACAGCCAGCATTATTACTCTTTTTTTTCAGCCTATATTCCCATCCTGCCTCATAGAAAAATCCAGGAGGAACGAAAGATAATACTGAGTCCAAACCTTGAGAACAGACCCCCATTACAAACTCTACTGAAGAGATTTTCTTCAGAAAGATCACAGGTCTCATGCTTTAGTCATGGCCTATTCCTTTGCCATCAGGTTGAGAGAAAGTGATCTGTGAGAGCAAAGTGATTTATTTCAAGTAAGCTGCTCACGGCAACTACAGAAACCTCCAGGATTACAGTGCACAAACAATGGGAGAAAAGCTGCTTCGAATAATACATCCAGACAATGGAGTTGCCATTATGGTAGCGATGCAAAATATGGACAGGGATTGAAATGAAACGGGTGATATCCGTATGCTTTGGAGGGCTCACTTGTGCCGAATTTGGCAGCATGAATGTTCATATTGCTTGTTGCTCCACCCCTTGAACAATGAGGCTAAACCCCATATGTGCAGGACTTGGTAGAGCACAAGCAGTTTTGCTAATCACACTGCATGCAAAAGCAAAAGGACAAAGGAAACTAGTAATGCTTAGACTAGCATTGGGGAAATAATTAAGCATGAATTAAATATTGTATGTGGATTTGAAATGAATGTTCTTGGAGACAATTGTTCTGTTTCAGTTGTGCTGCTTCCCTCCTAAGTTTCACAAAGTAATTTGCATGTCATTTAAATAAATACCATAAATTATTACAGATTTTTTTTTGTTTACATAAACCAAAATGCTCATTTCCATTACTGTTTGGATTGCCTGGTGAGAGAAACAGGGAGGTCTGAGAGGAAAATTCTCTCCCCAAAATATTACAATATTACAGACTGAGACAGAAAGCAGGTCCCCAAAAGGAAATCAAATGAATGAAACACAAAAATCCAGAAAAAGAAAGTGCAAGATAGCCTAAGAAGATATGAAGTTGCACACCCCTCTGCAGGATCATACAGGGCCTGCTGGCCGCTGCAAACTAAACACAGGTACTGTCACCTGAAAAGCCTAGTGCCCTAACCACCTGCAGAAAGAGGAATTTAGTATCTAGCATAAACTTTTGATGTTCTGGCTGTAAGACACTAAATACCATTTTGGC